TACAACATCACACATGTATCTATTTCCTTTTGTTCTTTTTTTTTTCAAAAAAAAAAAATCTTACTCAAGTTAGATGATATCACTTTATTTTTCTCGAAAATCTTTTCAGTTTATTTAAACTGTGTATAAGTCTAGCCTACTAGTGATGTTGTCCGTTTTAGGGTCAGTATGGCTTTAAAACGCATCACTAAAATTTAAAGCGTTACTTACACACTCAGTATTCATCTCATGTTTTACCGATGTGGGATTCACCTGGAATATCACAAACTATGATTTATTTATTCACATCATTTTTCTACAATCTTTCCCAGAATAATAGTAGTATTACTTTTGCATTTGAAATGATTCAAATTTGGATATCTTTAATAGGAGAGCAGCTAGCCAGGTGCAATTTCCAAACAAAGGGGCAAAAGTTATGGCAGAGTTTGTAGATAACAGGAGTTGGTAGGTTAATAATAAGGAAATGAAATAGAAATAGGAGACATGAAGTCAAAAAAGTATCATTTGGAATTCATGATTTTCATGTAGGTAATTACCTCAGTAAGTAATTAATACTACTAGCATAAATTCAAGTATTAATTGCAGCAGGGTAGTGAAAATCAGTGCACCACCTCGAGTCAATGGCAAAACAACACAAATTCTATTCAAACTGTGAAAAAAAGAAAAAAGCAATTTCCTGCTTTTCTTTAACTAGGGACAAAAACCTACCCTTTTCTTTAAAAAAAATTAATTGTGTCATGGCAACTCTCTTATCTTGATCTGTTCTATAGCTTCTTTTATTTTTTCAGTAGCAAGTCAAGTCACATGTACGCTGGAATAATAGTTTATTATTTGTTTCCTTTTATAAATGTCAAACACATATTATTCTAAGTTTCAGAAATCCTTGGTGAATTTTTCTTATTCCCAAGAATGTTAGTAGTAGTAAATTTTTCAAATTTTGTTATTGTTATATTACTTGTTACTCTTTCTATTTTGTTTGTTTTTCACATTACAACAACTTTTAGAAACCTTTTAAATGTTTTTAGCTATAAAAATGTACTCCCTCCGGTATACTTTAACTGATTTCTTTGCTCTTTTCATACATATTCATATATACGGAGCTAGCATATAGCATACGGATTCACGTGAACCCAAATTTTTTTATTCAACCCCTAAATATATTTTAAGAAATCTACAAAATATTCATAAATATTTTATAGTGAATCAATTACTATTGTATATATTAAGTTAAACTTACTTTAGAAATTAATAAATTATAAATTCGAGATACGTCTGTACTTTCTGTAGGAATTCATAAACTTCAAAACTAAGATGCGACTATCATGAGTTCGTGAACAAACAGGGGCGTAGGTAGGGTATCCTTTACGGGTTCGGCCGAACCACTGACTTATGCGTGGACTCTGTATTTGTATTAAAAAATCTATTAAATTTTTATTGATATATAATTGCGAACATAGTAACTAAACATATGCTATGTGAACAGATGCACAACATGAAAGCAAAAGGTGCATGTCAAGAATAAGCCAAAGGGTTTCTGCATTATGAAAGCTTTGGAACAACAGAAAAGTCTCCTCCATTTCACGCAAATAAAAGAAAATTTCAATAAGGGAGCAGATACAGTTAATCCCAGAAACATGAAAAAGGCTACCACTAGATATTGTACTATACATATTTTTTGAAAGTTGATTGATTTTGCCTCTTTTTAACTTTTCATGTTGACTCTTTTAAAAGTTACTTATGTCCCACTACCAAATGAATAGATTTAAAACTATTTCAACGGCTCAATCATTATCATTAATCTAATAGCTCATCAAGATTAATAAAATTTGAACAAAATTTATATTTAAATAGTCCAGTTCTTCTTTTTTGAAATACAAACTTCTACAATTTTTAGTGTTTACTTTTAGCATAAAGAATGAGTAATTTAAAGACTAAAGGATCGTTTGGTAGGATGCATTAGATAAAATAATGCATACATTAGCATTTTGGTATTACTGATCCCTTGTTTAGTACACTTTTTCAATCTATGTATTACTAATGCAAGTTCGGAAACAACCTCTCTACTCCCTCGGGGTAGGGTAAGGTCTGCGTACACACAACCATCCCTAGATCCCACTAGTGGATTTTACTAGGTCGTTGTTATTGTTAATATTACTAATGCAATATTAGTTATACTACCTATTTGGTATTATCCTATGTATAACTAATACATAGCAAACCATGATATTACCAATACTAAGGCTATTAATGTATGTATTAGCATGGTTAAAGACAATATTATCGTTAAAGCCCCTTAAAGCAAAAGTATATTGGAGGGTATTTTTATAAACAATGAAATTTCTTAAAAATTGTGCTATGCATTTTAATTTTTGATACACCACACCGAACGCTGGATAATGAATAATCTTCGCATAACTAATATTTGCATTACAAATTCATGCGTTATTAATACCCCTTATTTAACATTATTCTTATGTACCCTACCAAACGACCCCTAATTGGATAGTTTTATTAAAAAACCCTAGTTGTAGTGAAGTGGCTATAGCAAAGTAAAGAAGGGCAGTATTGACATTTCTCAAAGGTGAAGGGGAAGGCTGACCAAGTCTGTCCTATCTCTGTCCTTCTGTCTTAAATTGATGTATTCGATACTATCCCTCCGCAAGCTTAGAAAATGAAGTTACACGCTGAACGAGGGTTCCCTTTTTTCACGTTACCCATTTATTGTTTTTGTTTTATTTTAGAGAGTATAGTATATCATTAAAATATAAAAAAAGTGTATAATGACGGTCTACATAAGGAAGAAAAATAATACTCTATCACAAATTATCTGTTGTGATTTTTAAATATAGTTATCTCAAATTATTTTTTTCGGTCGACAATAAGCGATCATTTTACCTTTCTATTTTGGTCCAAAATAAGTGTTCATTTATATAATCAAGAAAGAATTAATTTTATTTTTCCAAATTTTTTCCTTATTTATATATTTTAACTTGTCGAGGTAACAATTAATTAAGGTTAATTTAGTGAATACATTATTTTTTCTCTAGAAGTTAGTATTTCCTTAATGAGTGTGCCAAAGGTAAAATAGTCACTTATTATGGACCGGAGGGAATATTTATTATTTTAGAAGTTCAAGACAAAATTATATATTTTACCTTTAGTAGTAATTGTTTTTGAAAATTGAAATAGTATATAAAGAGAGTAAATATTTAATGAATAGAGGTTATATCTTAAGACATAACTTAGGATAAAATAATCCAAAACTCCTTCTAACTAATGTTTATTATGGGACGAATAAAAAAAATATGATAAATAATTTGAGACGAGGGGAGTATGATCAGTCAGTTAATTTGCACCAATGTAAACATTATTTTCACTGCTAATGATATAAGTTAAATTTTGTTTCCTAATCTATACTCGTTCTCTAAATTTAGTATAACATATTCCAAAAGTAGATAAATGAGAAAGATAACAATAAGTCAAAATTAATGTGGAAGGTTATAACGTGATGAATCCTTTAAATATTAGCGAAAAAATTTAAACGGTGAATTTAATACCAATTTCAACTAATTTAAATAGTGGCAAGTAGTTTTAGCATACTCTCATTCTTTTTACTAGTGTATTAATTTGTCATACGATGTAAAAGATTCCTTCTTTAGTTGAGTTGACAAATCATTTGGTGTCACACCCAATTGGCCCCGCTATTGATAGTCTAAGTTTTCTTGTTGCTGAAATCAAAATACTGTTGTGTTATTTCATTGTCAAGTTTTTACCCTATTCATGTTATATATATATATATATATATATATATATATATATATATATATATATATATATTCGATCTCGTGATATACGTTTGCTTATTATTTTTGTCATTCTCTTCTTCTGATATTTCTCTTATCCTCATTCCTGGAGTAAGATATTATACTAATTATTCTTAGTGCAGCTCGTGCTTTTTCTGATTTTTCATCTTTTCCCCTTTTTTGCTGACTTCCTGGTTATGATTTTGAGAAAAATGTACCTGATGCTTATATTAGGTAATTTACTGATCCCCTTTTGCTTTTTTATTTTTTTCTTTCTTCTTTTCTTTTCTATCACTTCTTCGAGTTGACAATCCGCCCGAATACCTTTGTCGATATTTATTTTACAATAGTCCCTCCTATGATGCAGTTCGATTGGATATATAAAATTTAAGAAATAAAAAAATATTCTTAAAATTTATAATCTTAAATACGGCATAATAGTTGTATAACTCAAAATATTTAAAATTTGTCAATTAAAATTTTGAACGGACTAATAAAGGAATAGTCTTATTCTTTTTGGAATGGAGGAAATATATGTTACGTTTTGATAAGTGCTAAAAGTTACAACGTTCGACATCAGGTATATACTAGGATACCAAGACTATTTGATTAAATTCTCTCATATATGATTTTATCTTATTTATACTGTTAAATTTATGGATCGAGCCATGTAAACCCTAGCTGAGAAGGAAAGCAATAGAAGAAGGAGATGAGCCGAAGTTAGAAATGCAGAAATCAATTCTGTTATTACTGTGTATACACTGTACAAACAACCCCTATTTATAGAAGATGGCTAACCGACTTTATACATCTAACTACCCGGAGTTAAATGGGCTAAACTACCCTTAGTTTGTTATACATTAAGTCACACCTCTCACAACACTCCCCCTCAAGCTAGGTGGTGTAAATACATCAAACACACCTAGCTTGAAGCTCAAGTACTCATGCTGAACTCTACTTAATCCCTTTGTCAACAAATCCGCGTGTTGTTCTCTTGTCCTAACATACTTGGTTGCAACTAGTCATTCCAATATCTTCTCTCTTATGAAATGACAATATATATCAATATGTTTTGTTCGTTCATGCATACTGGATTTGCTGCAGTCTGTATTGCTCCCTTTGCTGGCACAATAAATGTTCACATGCAACTGAACCTCAACTCCTATCTCCTTTATCAACCCCACTAGCCAAACCAATTCAGCAGTTGTGGCTGCCAAAACTTCTTGATACTGTTGTCTGCTTCTTAAACTTCCAAGACACCAACGAGCCACCTAGTTTGATCAAGAAACCTGTTACAGATCTTCTAGAGTGTTGGCATGCATCCCAATCTGCATCACAGAATGCCTCCAATGTGCCTATGGCTTTGCTGGACATCAATATGCCCTGCTCAAGATGGTTCTTGACATATTTAACAACTCTCATTACTACCTCCATGTGTGATCTCTTTCGTTGCTGGAGAAACTGACTTAGCATCTGCACACTGAATGCCAAGTCAGGCCTTGTCATAGTCAAATATAGCCGCTTGCGCATTAGTCTTTGGTAGACAGTTGGATCTGGTAGTAGTTCATCCATAGCATCACTTAAAGTACCAAGATGATCATTATACTCCTTGGTAGTCAACTTTGCATTCACTTCTAGATGGAGTAGCTACAGGCTTTGCTGCTCCAAATCCAAGTTCAGAGATAATCTCCAAAGCATATTTCTCTGATGCACAAGAATCCCATCTGCAGATCCGACAAACTCTATTCCTAGAAAGTACTTCAACTCTCCCAAGTCTTTCATTTTGAATGCCTGCTATAGTGCTTTCTTTGTCTCTTTAATTAGATATAGGTAGGTGCCAGTGACTTGCATGTCATCTACATACACCAGCACTATCATATGAACAAAGAGTGATCATATTGGCTCTGAGCAAAGCCAAACTGATACAAAGCTTCTGTGAGTTTCTTATTCCACTGTCTAGGGGCCTGTTTCTGTCCATATAAGGATTTATGAAGCATACAAGGCTCCTGTGAATTTCTCATTCCACTGGCTAGGGGCCTGTCTCAGGCCATATAAGGATTTATGAAGCATGCACACTGGTTGGGACTCCCCTTAGCTTCTGAATCCTGGTGGCAATAGCATATAAATCTCATCAAAGAGATCACCCTAAAGAAAAGCATTATGCATATCCATTTGATGAATATTCCACTTCTGAGCTGCAACTATTGATAGAACAATCCTCACAGTCACCATTTTCACTACAGATGAAAATGTTTCCTGATAATCAATCCCCTCCTACTGGCTGTACCCTTTAGCTACCAACCTGGACTTGAATCTCTCCACTTCACCTGATGCTTTGTATTTGACCTTATATACCCATTTACAGCCAATCAGAACCTTGCCTTTAGAAGAGAGACAATGTCCCAGATGTGAGTGCTTTCAAGTGCTTCGATCTCTGCCTTCATAGCATCTATCCATCTAGGATCTTAATTGGCTTCAGCACATGTAGCAGGTTCTGCAATAGAGGAGAAGGTTGTAAGATAAGTTTGGTATTTAGGAGACAAGCCATTGTAGGAGACATAGTTTGCAATAGCATATGGTACAGCCTCATGTACATTTAGTGATACAAAATCCTTTATCCAAATAAGAGGATTCTTTGGTCTAGAAGATCTTCTAACTTCTTCTTCTACAACTGAGGGGATAGCTGGCAGTTGCTAAGTAGATGGAACCTGCACTTGACCATGATCAGGACTGTCTCCAGTTGGATGAGCCAAGATTGATTCTCCTTCATTCTCACTTGTAGCATTATTGTCATGAACATTTTCATTTGTATCACTGGGCACACCTCCTATATCTGAGTGTGTCAACTCAACCTCATGCTCACTGTTGTGGTTTATATCATAAACTGTTGGGGTCCCTGATAGCTGAGTATAGTCTGCAAGTACATCTGATTGTAGGAAGATTGGTAAATATTTATTTCTTGTCTGTCTAAAAGGAAAGACAGTCTCTTTGAAGACAACGTCCCTGTTAACAAAGAAAGAATGATTAGTTAGTTTTAAGAGTACATATCCTTTCTGAGTTGCAGCATAGCCCATCAACACTGCTGGTATAGCTCTTGACATGAACTTGTCCTTTTCTTGAACTCCCTTGGCATAACATAAGCATCGTAGTACTCTGATATGTTGTAGTGAAGGTTTCCTTTTGTGCAACTTCTAGAAGGGTGACACTCCATTAGTGACTGAAGAAGGCATCCTGTTGATTATGTGTACTGCAGCTAGTACACAATGTCCCCAGTATTTCAGAGGTATATGAGCTTGAAATCTCATTACTCTAGCAACCTGTAAAATATGTCTGTGCTTCCTCTCAGCTACACCATTTTGCTGAGTAGTATATATACATGTTCTTTGATGAATCATTCCAAGATTGCTAAACACATCACTGCAAGTTGAATTCACAAATTCCAATCTATTGTCTGTCCTCATAATCTTAACACACTTGTTATGCTGTATTTTTACATAACACAAGAAGGATTTTAAGACCACACATACATCTGACTTATACTTCAGCAGAAATAACCCTGTCATTCTAGAGAAGTCATCCACCAAAGTTAGGAAGTATTTATTTCCATCAAATGTAGGCACTCTATAAGGACCCCATACATCTGCATGTATCAAATCATAATATTCTATGCTTTTAATGCTGCTGCTAGAAAAGGGAAGTCTAGTTTTTTAGCTAATGGAAATACATGACAATTATCCACAATTGTGACACAGTTCTGAGTATTAACAGGGAAAAACTTCTTTAATACTACAGAAGATACATGTCCCAGTCGCCTATGCCACAAGTCAATGTCCTACTTCTCCTTAGGTTCTGTTGTGTTCTTGACTGTTAGTGATATTTCTGGATTGCTCTTATTTGTGTGAGGGATCAACATATAAAGACCATCGTGTTCCTTACCAATCTCCTTCACCCTCCCACTGTAAAGATCCTGAAATAGGCAGAAATCAAGATAAAAAGCAACACAACATTGTAAGTCTTTAGTAGCCTTGGATATTGGGAGTAGATTATATCTGAATCTTGGGACATGTAGGACATTTTTGAGTAAACTTCTTGCTGAAATTGGACTAGTACCTGTGTGTGTAACATAGACTACATCTCTATTTGGCAGATATACTTTCTTAGGATTACCAGGTTTGATCTCTTCTGATTTAGATAACAGCTTTAAATCAGACACCATATGATTTGTAGGCCCTGTATCAATGATCCACTCCGTGGGCTTATTACTCACTAAGAAAACACAGTTAGTACCTGTTGTGTGTGCCATATTTGCTGAGGGAGCAGTCAAAGAGCTTTAGTTCAGCATTTGTAAAATCTGTTCATATTGTTTCTTAGTAAATGTGCATGCCACTGGCTGTCTTCCTAATGGCTGTCTCTTGAGGTTGATGGCTGCCTCTGCATTTGCACTCCAGACTGAAGTAAAGTCTGCATTTGTTGAGACTGATTCTGCACCTGCATAAATGGCTGTACCTGATTATAGAAGGTCTGATTTAGATTTTTAATACAAACATTATAGGCTGCATCCCCCTTTATTCTTAGACTTAAAACCTTATGGATAACCAACGATCTTCCAGCAATTCTCCTTATCGTGTCCTTCTTCTTACAGTAGTCACAATAGTCACAATAGTCACTATAGGTTCTCTTCTGCTCAGAATAATTTCTAAGCTGTTGAGAATTGTTTGGCTGAAAGTTATTAGGCTGAAAACTAGGTTGGAAACAACTAGATCTGGATGAATATAGGGCAATTGACTCATAACTTTCAGCTGGAAAAGTGATGTCAATCCTAAATTTCCTGCTGTGGCAGCTATAGATTTCTGATTTTCATTACTCATGATCGTGGAGAATGCCTGATTGACTATAGGTAAGGGATACATCAACAGTATTTGACTCCTTGCTTGAGCATAGGAGTCCTCCAATCCCATAAGGAATTTGTACAACTTCTGTCTCTTCATAAAAGCAACATAATCTCTGGACTTCTGACAATCACATGGAGTAGGGACTAAAGCTTCAAACTCATCTCAAAGGTCATTCATCTTAGTGTAATTACTACTAAAAAATCAGGTTTTAGCGACAGACAAATTCTGTAGCTAAACAGAAAAGTCCGTCGCTAATCTCATTTAGCGACGGATTAGCAACAGATTATCAAGAAATTCTGCTAGCTACGAGCGTTTTAGTGATAAATTAGCGACGACGTTCGTAGCTAATTCCAATTTTTTTGTAGTAAATAAACAGAAACAGATAATGTACCTTGATATAAGGTTGCAATATCCTTGTGTAGATTAAATGACCTAGATCCATCTACTTTGTCAAATTTCTCTCGCAAATCCTCCCAAACAGCCTGTGCACTAGCTCCAAATACCACTCCTCCAACGAGCTGTGAAGTAACAACATTCATCAACCATGAGAGTACTATTGCATTACACCTCTCCCATTGTTCCCATAGATTTTCACGATTTTTTTCCTTTTTCCATGTTCCTTCAACCAACCCTGGCTTATTTCTTCCTCGCAGAGCTATCCTAATAGATCTATTCCATATAGTATAATTGTCCATACCTGTTAATTAAAATGAAATCAATTGTGCTCCACTCGTATCTGCAGGTCCAAGGTATAATGGATGATTGTGAGGCAAATCAATTCTGAATTCCTCATTATCTAGAGTATTTCCAATTCCTGTATCTACACATGTGGCGGCATTAGATGTGGTGTTATCAACAGTATCTCCCATGGCTATTCTGCTTTAATTGACGAGGCTTCGATTCTTCGATTGATTTTTCCTGAATCTCACAATTTTACCAATGACGATGTGAATCGATGAATGAGACTAGTGATTCCTAGTCTTACTGCTCTGATACCATGTTAAATCTATGGATGGAGCTATGTAAACCCTACCTGAGAAGTACAACAATAGAAGAAGGAGATAAGCTGAAGTTAGAAACGCAACAATTAATTCTGTTATTACTGTGTATACGCTGTACAAACGACTCCTATTTATAGAAGATGGCTAACCGACCTTTATACATCTAACTGCCTAGAGTTAAATAGACTAAACTGCCCTTAGTTTGTTATACATTAAGTCACACCTCTCACAACATATACTATGCTGAGTGTATATGAAGGGATCCTGAAGAATTTATGTAAAGTTTTTGAAGTACCCATATATTGTCCATAAAGCATGTTAAATTGCGCATGATTGTGTTAGAAGTATAAAATATCTTGAATATGGTATATAAAAGTATCCAAGGAGGATAATAAATTTTTTGATCTACTATGCTATTGGTTAAGATTTCATGTTAATTAGATATACAATTAGATTACTAAAAGACCTAAGCTACTTCACCTAGCTAATAATGGATTGAAATTTTTGTTAGTATTGCTATACGATAAAATACTTTTATGTTATGTCATTGGCTCTACAAATTGAATGGATTTAGTACGCGCACTGTAAATACGTATATACTACAATTAGTTCAAGGTTAAAGTCAAGAGAAGAGACCAGGGGTGGAGCTAGAACACATGTGGTCAGCCGAATCCACTAGCTTTAATCCAAACCTATATTTATCTTAAGAAATTTATTGAATATATATAAATTACTAATTTTTAACTCGATAATTTAAATAGACTAGTATCCTGCCGGTAAATTTCAAATTCTGACTTCGCATTTACGGAAAAATGGTGACACATGAAGAAAGGGAGAGTTTTGGTAATTGTCGTGGTCATTTCTGGAGCCAGTTAACCAATTGTGAATAATGTAGGGTCAAGGGGGCATGGTGTCTGTTGCTATGCTTTTATGACTTTGTTTGTCCTTTCCTACACAGTACATACCCCCCCTCTCTCTCTCTTTCTTTCTCCATCCTTTATTTATTATCATCTCTATCCCCCTCCTCTTTCATTCATTCTCAACATCATAACAATTTTCTCTCCCCCTTTCTTTCCTTTCTTTCTCTCTTAGTTTCTTTCAAGATTCATAGGAGGAAGTTCTCTCAGTTGAGGGGAATGTTGTCTGGCTCGAGGTCACCAACTAGATCCATAAGCTCCATTTCATGTTTTTCTTAAAAAATATAAAGATACAGTTTTTTTTTTCATTAGAAAATTATACTAAAGATTAGTTGATTATATGAAAAGGGGTTATGGATCATGAGTCAGTGTTGTCGGACCAGGCTTCATTCCCCCCAATTGTTACTTCCTCTCTGGACAAAAATCAAAGCTTTGACATGAGACGAGTTTTGGCTTCTGAAAAAGGTAAGTTTTATTTATAAGATCTTGATATATATGAGACGAGTTTTTAGCTTTTGTAGGTAGTTTTGGACAAGAACAGATTGGTGTAATGATGAAGAATTTTGACTCATTCCACTTTCCTGCCACGGTAAATGCAGACGAGTTTATTGAGTAGTGTACTATTTTTAACCTTAAATCTGATTCTGCTTTTATTTTGCTTGTCATTTGTGCTTCCTTTTCTTGTGTCAGTTAACTCTCTCTGTTTGAGTTAGAGTTACTTATATCATTAGTCTGATTTTTCTCATGATGGCTTCTTGAATCTCTTCTGTCCGTTTCTGCTTTTTTCTTCTGTTTTAGATTTCTCTCTTTTTGCTATCATCATTATTATGAGGACCATTTTACTCATCATTTCTTATTTTAGGGTTTTACTTCCTAGTTCCCACATATGATATCTTACAAAGGAGAAATCATTGAGTTTATGCAAAAATACATTCATTTCAGTTTCTCATCTTATTTTGTTTCTTCTGATTTATTGTTTCCTTTTTTTCCCCCACTCATTTCTGCTTTTCTTGATGACAGACTCGGAGATATGCAGACTTTTATCTTATATTTTGTACAAGATCTTGTGACATCATCATATACAGAGAGTTATGCTAATAAAGTTTCTTCACATGAACAAAAAGCTACATTCCTCGTTTCTGTTTTACTTTTTGGGTTAAAACTTATACAAGTGTGAAAGAATATATTCATCCTAAGCTTTTTGTAAAGCTGGCGTAAGATTTTTCTATTTCCTGAAGAATGATCAGAGAATAATCTTCCAAATGTTTATACTCTTTATCATGGAGTAAGTTGTGAATGAGAAGCAAACTATGTTGGCAGACTCTCCAAAACAGTGGCCGCACCCGTATTGAATCCTATAGCTATGCAACATGCACCAAATGATATTTTCGAAGAATCCGAGCAATACCGTTGTTTTCTCTTATTGTGGATTACCTTATTACCTTGTTATTTTTATTCTGCTTTTATATGGCTTTTTGACTATATTCTCATTAATATGGTGCTTATATGCTTTCCTGAGCCGAGTTTCTATTGGAAACAACCTCTATTCTCACAAGGTAGGGGTAAGTCTGCGTACACAGTCTGTGTATGTTGTTGTTAATATAGGTTAAAACCCTCTTGCAGCAGTGACTTGTTTTACAACATTTTCTTAATATTTACATGTGACAGTGAATTATTGTTTACCCTATACATTACAAACAGTAAAGTTACTCAACTAGAGTGATTTTCTTTAATAAGAATAGTGTTGTACAATCAATATCAACCCTATTTGATGTGAAAAGAAGCTAAGGGCCTGTGATTGTTGTACAATTACATAATGGATCTGTGGATGAACTGGATTCAACATTGCATATGGCACTTTGGAAATTGAAGCTGAATTCTGTCGCTCTCTTGGCTCTATTACATTCTTGTGATCTGCTCCTTTTTTTTGATGGGATGTTTTTTGGTACTATATACTAGCATTATTCACTCACAATTTAAAAAAGAAAAAAAATTAATAGTTGGAATATTGAAAGATTTGAACGACTTTGGAAATCTCCAAATGGAATGAGAGTAGCTTTTCAAGTAAATTTTTTGTTTTTTCAACAACTCAAAATTTGCGTTTGCAAATTTAGTTTTTAAAAATTTAAAACAAGCACCACCTTGATACTTTTTGGAAAATCTGAGGTTTTTTAGAACATGTTCGAGTGCACTTATGTACAACAACAACAAACCCAGTTTAATCCCACAAAGTAGGGTTTGAGGGTAGAGTGTCGCAGACCTTCCGATAGACCCTGGCTCAAGATCGAGTGCACGTATGTAACTATTGAAAAATGAAGTGTGGTCTAATGAATTCAATGTAAGTTATCGCAGCTCCTATGTACATTGTTTTGGTGTTAAAGGATTTCTTGCATTTCAGCAATGAAGCTACGTTTACTTTTACCATTGTTGAAAATAACATTAATAGTGTTACATCTTTGTAAAACATGATACAAAAATGATGACTTCAAATGCTTAGCTTGTCCTCCTATGGATTTAGCAATGAAGCTACTTAAACTTTTTACATGTCGTGAAAATAACACTGATAGGGTTACATTTTAGCTAAAAATATTGGAAAAATGACGTCTTTAAATGCTTGGCCTTTCATGGATTTAATATGTGTCAAACAGAAAATAGCATCTAATTTTTTTTGGTTGGGTTGTCAAAGTTTGATCTTGTGATGCTGGTTGTATGATTTTATCAGATGTTTGAGGGTTGAAACTAAATTGAAATAAAACAAGAGAATACTTTAATTGAGGGCAAAGTTAGATCATTTCGCATGGTCCAGAGGCAAAAATCTTTTTCCTTTAAAGTACAACCCTCCTCAAAACACTATGGAATACGTACGGTTAGAGGTAGGGGCAAATTTAGGATGAAAAATAAAAAATAGATAAGCCAATAGGTTAATGAACTATGACTCTGATGACAACACGTGACAGACGAATGATATGATTCTCGAAGAGTTACATGACGATTATGTGATGATGCATCAAATAGGTGCAAGGGTGGATGATCTAGTAGGTCCTTGTATGGACTAATGTATTCCCCGCGAGAAGCTTTAAAGGAAATAGGAATGGATATCTATACGGGCTTCATGTGATTCAAAGCCATCCACTACGTGTTGCAAGTTCACAAGATGAATCAAATACAAAAGAGATATTTTTGAACCCTTCTCATTTAAAAGAAAAAAAAAGGAAAGAAAAGATACAATTGAGGGAAGAATGAAGAATTAGCTTTGGATTAGTAAGAGAGAAGTATATGAATTAAAAATTAGTGGGAAGTGAAATCCCTCGATAGAAATGCTGACAAAAACCTGGAAAAGAGTGACAGCCCCCTCTCATTGTGTCATCAATTTTTACTGAAGCTGAGGCATCATTTTCATATTATAGTATGCTAACATTTAATGCCTTTACTACTCAGGCTGGCCTTCACGCCATTCCTCTTTCAGTAGAGTCAACATCAATATATCAGCCCATAGCATCTATAATATTGGATCCCTACATTTATATGTATGTATGGTTTTTCACTTTACCCCCTGAGTTTCTGACCTCTACTTAATTAGACAATGATATTTCTCTCATTGTTTTCAAAAATTACTGCCAAGTTTTCTGGCTACTTATGTCAGCTTGACTCCAGCATGTCTGTGCTTTTTTCCTTTCCCTTTCACCACTAGAGTAGCCCCTTATTTTTCGCCCTCAATCCAGACAAATACGCACAAGTTAAATCTTGTTTCTCTTAGTTTTTAAATAAGTTTAATTAAGATATACCTGGAGTGTAAGTTCAGTGCTAAGCCGGGGTAGTGTGCGTGGATGTGAGGCTTGAATCACAGGTCATCCCAAGTAGAGGCAGCTTCAAGTACCTTGGTTCGGTTATCCAGGGGGGAGGGGAGATCGACGAGGATGTCACACATCGTATTAGGGTAGGATGGATGAAGTGGAGGTTAGCATCTGGAGTTTTGTGTGACAAGAGAGTGCCACCGATATATAAAGGCAAGTTCTATAAAGCGGTGGTTAGACCGACCATGATGTATGGGGCTGAGTGTTGGTCTGTTAAGAACTCACATATCCAAAAGATGAAAGTAGCAGAAATGAGGATGTTGAGGTGGATGTGCGGGCACACTAGGATGGATAAGATTAGGAATGATGATATTCGGGAGAAGGTGCATGTGGCTCCCATTGATAACAAGATGCAGAAGCGAGGCTCAGATGGTTCGGGCATGTTCAGGGGAGAAGCCCAGATGCTCCGGTAAGGAGGTGTGAGCGGCTCGTTGTGGAGGGAACGAGAAGAGGTAGAGGGCGGCCTAAGAAGTATTGTGGAGAGGTGATCGGGCAGGATGTGGCGAGGCTTCAGATTTCCGAGGACATGACACTTGATAGGAAGTTGTGGAGGTTGACGAAGCTTATGTGTAAAGGATTTTCTGCTCGTACTCTGTCAAATTCTAGTATAGTTTATGATATCGTCCCACGGAGATTGGACAATCTAAGCTACAGACTTGTAATATTTTGACTACTATTTGAGAGAACCAAATTGATGAGAGGTGTGTTTGAAATTATAAATTAAGACAAATTTCTTCTGAAAAGTTTATATTTAAAAAGAGTTGGGAATCGTTGAATTCACTTGATATATCATTACAATAAAATCTCAGGTTCATACGTATTTCTCTAAAGAATAATTGCTTATTGCTAATACAATTATATTTTTACACTAAGAAATAAATAAATAATTAACACTCCGCGAGGTTATGTCAATCATTTGATTTAAAACTAGTGACGATTAAACTGAAATATCTTGCCTGAATTGTGCTCAAGCGTAGTAATAACTTCGTGAGAATATTTTTACTAGAAAATCAATAATCTTGTCTTCAACAATTTCTCCGTGAGAATTAAAACTGAGGAAAGCAAGATTACAAGCTTGAAACAATAATCTTACTAAAAATTATTTTAACTCTAATATTTTGTGCTCAAGTGTAGTAAAAACTTCGTGAGAATATTTTTACTAGAAAATCAATAATCTTGCCTTCAACAATTCCTCCGTGAGAATTAAAACTGAGGAAAGCAAGACTATAGACTTGAAATAATAATCATATAAAAAATTACTTTCACTCTAATATTCTATTCATCAGTTATTATATATTAATTTTGCTCCTTGAGAATTACAAAATTAATATAAGAATAACTTAGATATAAAATATGTAGATGTTATAATAATGATTAAAAAATCATCATTCCATCACAATATGAAATGTATATAGAGTTTCAGGCCAAGAATGTATTGAAACTGAGATAGTATTATAATTATATCAAGCTTCATCAACTATCCCAACAAAAAGAAATTACTCCATTATGAAGTAAGAAAATGTGACGACCCAAAGGGCCATCATCTGTTTTCTTACTCATTCCGTGCTTCTGAGGCCTTGAAAACCTCATTTAGGATTGCCTCGATTTGCGTGCACAGTCCAGGCGCGTAGCCGGAAAGCTTAAATATGAATTCTGTGAGAAAAATGCTAAATTTTGAAATTAATTTGAATAAATTTGACTTCGGTCAACATTTTGGGTAAACGGACCCGGACCCGTGATTTGACGGTCCCGTAGGGCCTTAGGAAAATATGGGACTTGGCTGTATGCATGGAATCGAATTCCGAGGTCCCAAGCCCGAGAAATGAATTTTTGTGTGAAATTGTTTTCTGGAAATGATTAAGGAAAATGAAAATGAAAATGAAATTTGATTGAAAGAATGTGGTATCGGGCCCGTATTTTGGTTCCGGCGCCCGGTACAAGTCTTATATATGGTTTAAGCGCTTTCTGTAAAGTTTGGTTGAAATAGGACGTCGTTTGACGTGTTTCGGACTTAAAACTCTAAATTTGAAAGTTTATGAGGTTTGAGGAAAATTTGTGATTTTGAGGTCTAATTCGATGTATATGATGCTATTTTGGCGATTTGATCGCGTGGATAAGTCCGTAGGATGTTTTTAAGGTTGTGTGTATATTTGGTTTGGAGCCTCGAGGGCTCGGGTGAGTTTTGGATAGGCATCGGAGTGCATTTTAACTTAGGAAAAATCTGGTATGAACAGGCCTGCAGTTGCGAAGCCTGGTTCGCAAATGCGAAGGCTGGTTCGCAAATGCGAAACTAGCCCAGGCCTGACTATGATCGCAGATGCGATGTCTTTCTTCGCAAATGCGAAGGTACAGGGTTCGCAAATGCGAGACCTTCTTCGCAAATGGGAAGGTCCCCTGTAAGGCTTAGCTTCGCAAATGCGAAGCAGAGTTCGCAATTCCCATATTTTGGAATTGCGAACCCCAGTTCGCAAATGCGACATCAGAGACCCAGCAATTTCATACTTAGTCGAATTTTAAGTCATTTTTCACCCCACTTTCAAAATACAACTCCTTGGGCGATTTTTCAAGAACAAGTTTCATTCCAAATCAATTGTAAGTCGATTTTTACTCAGTTGTTTCAATCATTAACATCATTTAACATGTTTTCCCCTTAAAAATAATGATTTTCATGGGTGAAATTGGGGGTTTTGGGTAGAACCTAGGTTTTCTAAAAATTGGGGATTTGGACCTCAATTTGAGGTCCGATTTCAAAAAAAATTACATATTTGAGTTCGTGGGGGAATGGGTAACCGGGTTTTGGTTCGAACCTCGGGTTTTGACCACGTGGGCCTGGGGGCGATTTTGGAATTTTTGGGAAAAACTTGGGAAATTTATTTTTATGCATTCAAATTGATCCATTTAGTGTTTATTAAAGTAATTGAGTAATTTGTGACTAGATTCGAGCGGATTGGAGGTGGAATCGCGGGGTAAAGCGATTGTTGAGGTTTGAGTGGAATTCAAGGCATCGAGGTAAGTGTTTGGTTTAACCCTAGCTCGAGGGAATAGGAGTGGAGTCTTATTTGATGCTTGCTAATTGTCGAGTATGATGTATAGGCATGGTGACGAGTATCTATACATTGGTATCTAGCATGACCGTGAGTCCTTACTTTGCGAATAGTTTGGTTGTTGATATGCCTTCCATGCTTAATTGATGACTTCTATATGTTGTAAAGACCTTGTGAAAGAAATTGTGATCTTGAAACTTCGTGGAGCATTGGCTCGGATTGAAATACAAGTTGTGAAGGTTTATGAGATAAGTAACTCTTTGGAGCACTGGCTCAAGTGATGATATGAACTATGAGATGAAAGTGAAAGAAAGAAAAGAGTTAATGATTTATTCCCTTGCCGGGATGTTGTTGGTTATTGATGTTGTACCCTTGCCGGGTCTTTAAATTGTTGTTGTGTACCCTTGCCGGGACTTCTATTCTTGTTTTATTATTTCCCTTACCCTTGTTTGTGATTGTTGATTGGGTGAGGAAGAGTGTTAAAGCACGAAGGGTGATGCCGTGCATTGAATGATATTTGTGG